AAAACCTAAACATGTTGAGATTTGGGATTCATTTACGTTTTCCTTTTTCATTGTTTTTTATTTTTAATTATTTTGACAAAGATAATAAAATAATGGATAATTTCTGTCTAACGTAACAAAAACATTTGGATGAAAGGCACATTAACTGGGACATGTGTCACATAGCTATTACGTGCTCACTCATTGTGCTTACCTGACGTGCCTACTACATCCAGTCCCAAAATGAAATTGCCAACTTTTGGGCCTAGGTCGAGTCCATTGTAGGCTGGTCACTCCTAGCTCAGGTTCAACTTGCCCAAATTGCCCCCCTATATTATATGAACTTTCTTTTCCTATTTGAGTTTTCTCTCATGAATTCTGATTATTTATGTTTTAATATGAAGCTTATACTTTTTTTTTATGAAGACTAGTAAATGTTCAGGTGCATGACAATTAATTTTAGATAAAAATAATTGTAACAACGGTAATAATATTAGCAAGATTTTTTCTTGTAGTGTATTGATGCTGCTCAAATAGCCACTGTTTTCTTAGACGGTTGGATCGTTTGCCTTGGAAACCATTGAGGCAATCATTTCCATTTTACCTCACACTTGGCTTGGGACCATTCAATTTATTTAATGGTTTTTGGTTATTTTTTTATTTTTTAATTATTTTTGTTAGAACGGGCCATTCATTCAGACCAGATAGTCGAATTGTTAACTCGGAATCCAGTGGCTAGAACGGCGGTTCTGAATCATTTTTTAAAGGAAAATTGTTCAAAACCCACCATCACTTTTTCTAAATTCTCTTAACCTCACCACAACTTTTCAAAATGTCCAAAACTCATCATGTCAGTGAGATAACGGTAACTTGACTAACAGGCAGCATTAATTTACCAATTTATCCTTCATTATATTCGACCCATTTTGCAATATACCAAAATTACCCCGTCAATTTATAATCCAAAACCCAAGCATTAGCCACTACTTTCTTTCTCCATCGGCCGCTACTTCCACTTTGTTTGAGAGCTTGAAGAAGAACAGGATCAATTTGAAAAGGACAGAGAAGAAGTATGGTTGGATGCTCCTAAAGACCGTTCCCATCGTCTGAGAAGAAGAGCAGTCGGAGTACAGTCTGCAACTTCTCACCGACTGCTGCTTCTCCTCATCGTCTGAGAAGAAGAATGGTCGATTATTGCCTCTCTCATCATCTGAGAATAAAAGCATTCGGAATATTGTTACTCGTGTTTATGCACAGACACATACACCATTAAGGTTCCTTCACGGGATTTTTCCTTCATCTGACAAACCCAATTCGGTAACATTGTGCTTCAGAGAACTACCAAAGCCACGGTTGTCTACCATCTTCATCAGTGAACCAACATCAAAATCTACCATCCTGGAATTCTCAATAGAAGACAATTACAATATTGCAAGAGGTTGCAAGAAATTAATGCGCAGTAGAAGACAATTACGATATTGCAGCTGCACTGAAAACTTGAGAGCAAAAACACTGGACAGAGAGAAGACAGAGCAAATTAATGGGCAATGACATCTCTGTCTGCAAAGGAAGAGAGAGTAGGTTACCTAGCAAGTGGAGGCCTTTCTGTAAGTGAGCATATGAACCATGGAAGGTATGATGTATACGGTGAAGCTGACCAGGAGAGCACCGACGGCGGAGTTGATAGGATTGAAGAAAGGGAAAATAATTACCAAGAACCAAATGGGGATGACCACCGGCAGCTTGGCCAGTGCCCTCAAGCATATACTCTTGGTATAATGCATCCCCATAACCTTCTCCCATATGAAATACAGTGGCGTGCATGCGAACCCAAACGCTATGAACTGCCATGCCCATGGTGAACAAAGAAACCAAAATGGCAGATCGTTGTAAATTCAATCATTCAACAAGGATAAGTATGTCCAAATAAAATGAAAACAAGTGCACCAACGGGAACAGACCAGATGAATGAGCATTAAGTTAACGGCAATGTCACGCCAACCGTGCGCCAATGGTGGGTTTGTCTCCTTTTAGGAATAACTAGCTCACCAACCGTATTATTAAGGATGCTCTCACTCTTCTTTTCCTGCAACATCTTGCTTTTCTCAGAAAGAGAACTCTGTTTCTGCAACCTCATTCCCTAAACACTGAAATCTTCCACTTCAGTAGGAAAACCTCCAAACTTGGATTCAGAAGACACCAATTCTTTCTTCTCTACTTCCTCTATTTTTCTAGGGAAAGACATCCATTGAGATTGAGAAACCAAAGAACTACTGTCAAAGATCTTATATTGAGATTCAGATGCTGCAAGGTTTGTTGTTTTAGTGCAACTTCCAAACCTATCCAAAACCCAAGAGTTCGGTAAAAAAATTGTTCAACAGGCCCACTCACCATTCAGGGGTAGTTTAGTCATGAAATATGCATTTAGGTTGACGTGAACAACAAGGATAATTCAACTTTAATGGTGTTGTAAATGGTGAGTTTTAGAAAATAAAATCTCACTGACATGATGATTTTTAGACATTTTGAAAAGTTGTGGTGGGTTTAAGAGAACTTAGAAAAAAGTGATGGTGTGTTTACAATTACCCTTTTTTAAAACATTGCTCCTAAGTGTTGTTAGAAAGTTATGCTTAATCAATTCTACGACTTTTGTTGGTGGAAAATTTGATTCCACTGTAGAGGCTTCATCTATTAATTGTCGACTACAGAAGTTTACTTCACTGCCTTCCTTCTTACTCAGTGAAGTATGTTCCATGGTCTGCCAATCAAGATTTTCTACTTCTCGGATTTTCCCATCACCATTGTTCATCAATCCTTTTTTCCCAAAGAAAGACAACACAACAAAATACAGAACGTTAAACCCAAATCGAAATGACCAAATAGTAAAATCAAGTCGATTCTGAACTCCCGTCATTTTTGTTCTTCTTACATTGGATTGAGCATGAAGTTGTGAAGAGATCCAAGTATCAAACCAGGAACACCGGTGCATACAGTTCCTACATCTTAAGCAAAATCCCTAATTGCAACAACAAGATACAAGAACAAGAAGAATTCAATTCTACCACCTGAATAACTTAACAAAAATCTTAGAAAATATTGAGGAATTTCACTTTGGGAAAATAATTTATCTACTCCAAAAGGAAAAATTTGCATCACTTGAACACGACAATCGTCGCTAATGCATCGTCTCCTACAAGTCGAAAGATATTCATCATTGTAGAGATTGAACCAACTGATTTTGTGCCCTAGATTTTAAAATTGGAACTGAATGAACAAAAAACATCAGAAATGAGGAAGATTGTGAAATTGGATTGAAGAACTGAAAGTGCAGAATGGCAAGAAAATCAGATGCAGCAGATGCTTTTCTACTTTGTGAAACCTTGGACTAAAAGTGTAGTGTCGCAAGTCACTTGTCGTTCAAGAGGAAAACTCGGATGAGATAATTTTGGGTTTAAAACAGGGTCATACCTTGTCTTCTTGAAATTATTCATGGGCATTTTGGACTTTTCTCTAGATCTAAAATGCTTCTAAATGCATTAAGTGTTGGGCCACAGTCTTAGAATTTCATATTCCAGATCATCCTTTCATACTCAAACACAGGTGGCATTTGAAAAGTAACATTTTCAGACTTTAGATGTCTAAAAAGTGTTATCTAACGCCATCTTAATTATCAGGCACAATAAGCTGAATTTGACCCACCCTTCTATCTCCAAGTTCAATTTGGATTTTAAAAAAAAAAAATTCCAATCTCTCTCTAGCTCTTATGTGCAACCTTCTAAATGCCATTTCGTGAAAACTCAGGCCACGGATGTTTGGTTAATGATTAATAGATTATAGTTACGTTTCATTGGATTGTAGAGCACAATATTTTTATAGCTTTCTAAGTCCCAACCGAGTTGGGCTTAAAGCCCATTCGAACAGTCTTTATAGGGTTGCATTGAGAATATCTCTATACTTATGAGATTTATTTTATGGAAAGATATTTCTAATGCATGTTGCAAAAGGTTGTTTGAATGGTGTGAGCACCGGATTACATTGATTGAAGCCAAACTCGTCCCAACATGGCCACATGGTTCACTTATGTAAATATGACATGACAATTACATGGTTCATTTTATTGCTTTGATCGAATGATCACCATTGAGTAAAAACATTGTCGTTGGATTTATTCACATGCTTAGGCCAGATTCTATTGCAACATCTCTACTACAACCAGACAAAGATATTACCAGTTAGGCAATTTGGCACCTTGTTATTATTTAATTCAATTGTCATTTTGTAAAAGACACTAGCTCAAGATCTTTTAACCACAAGAACTTTACACACTCTACCCACAAAACACTTTCTCTATGCATTGAAAACATCTCCCCATGCTTAATAACATGTAAGAGCAGATTTCACATCTCCTCCCCACAAGGGGTGGCCCCACCACACCCCATAGCACATCCATGCCGTGTGTTGAGAATATCTTTTGATGATGATATTATCAATTCTGATATTTTATCGGGAGATGTTTTCAATACACGGCAAGGATGCATTATGGGGTGTTGTGGGGTAATCTTTTGTGGGGAGAAGATGTTATCTCATAAGAGCATTAGATGTTTTTCATGTGTGGCTGTGATGTCTTGTGGGTTGGAGTGGGTACAATTGTCATAGTAGGAAATTAGGGCTCGATTTTGACACCTTGGGTAGCTTACGTAAGCACATGCATGGGACCCACACTTATTGTATTGAACACTACACTGACGTTTTGTCACTCATAACCGATTACGTAGCCATATTGCACACAACTTGATGAGCAACAGATCGAGACTTGATAGCTCAAGCCAAACATAGCCTTATTGTTTGAACAAATACCATCATTAGCAATTTTGTATAATAACTATTGATTGTCGCTAAACCATCGATCAAATAAATAAATTAAATTCCAGAATAGAATAAAATTGTAAAACTGTGTTCATCAGATGAAACAAATAAGCATAAATTCAGAAACCAATATACAATCAAACTGTGTCAATTAATCAAACTTTAGGCATCTCATAACGACACAACGGACAAAAGTTGCTCGTCTGCAACCATTGAGAAATGCAACCTCCATGATAGACATGCGAGCAAGGCATGCGAGTGATCTGCGACCCGATCGGAAGCTCTTCCAAACAGATGGCACAATTTATGGTGGAAGTGGAACCCACACCACCACCATCGACGTCGAGTTTCGTCACTTCCAACGCTTCAATGGCGGACGCAGACGCAGGGACAGCTCCGAACCCACCATTGCCGGCATCCATTGATTCCATGGAAGCTGCGGCTATGGCAGCATTTTCGTCGTAGCGTTCAGTGAGCGTCTGCAATATATGGACGGAAGCAAGCGCAATGGGGGCTCCATTAGAAACAGCAAGGGCCACCTCTCGGGCAAATGGAGAAATGGTTGGTTCCAGGATCTCATTCGCCTGCTCAGACAAGCCCATCTCGGAAAGAATGTAAGAAACCAACCTTGGACGATGGAGGTCGGATAGTAAGCAGCGAGTATTGAACCTGAAGCTCTTGGTGATTGCGGGACCCACCACCTCAATCGTCCTCGCTAATGCATGAGCATCGTCTCCTTCGTCATCCCCCGATTGCAGAAGCCAGGTGGTAGTCTTTAAAAACTGGATTTCGATGGTGAACCTATCGAAACCATCTTGGTCCCATGGCTTCCAAGAGAGCATATAAGCAGACAACTTCATGAATGGCGGCATCTTGAAGGCTGGAATGAAGATTGAGTAGTGAATYAAAAACTCGAACTGGAAGAAGAGTGGAAAATTAAGCAGAAATTGGTGTGCGAGTATTGATGATGTGAATGACAACATGGGAGACGAAAGCTACTGGGTTTGTTTTTATAATGCAGTAAGAGTGTAAAACTGGAAGACGATAGCTAGTTCTTGAATTAGAAGTTTTTATTTCTAATTCCCAAACTGGATTTCCTACTTGTTCTTGGAAAGAGTAAAGAGTTCACTTTCAACAACGACAGCGTTAAAAGTGGTCATGGGACCCAAGCTCAAAATTCCAATCGGACGGACGGTACGTGGAAAGAGTTCACTTTTTTTTTCTTTAATTACTTGGGTCACAAAATACTGCCATTGTATTTTGTTAAATTTGAAACTCGGTGACCGTTTCCTATCCTAAATCAACGGTAAGTTGTAGTAGTTGAATAGGACTGGTCTGAAACCTTCTTGTTTAGGTAATATAAACAGGATTTTTGCAACGCAAGGACAGAAAATAATTTTGATTTGCATTATTAGGATTCTAAATTGCTGCATTAGTTAAGACTCCACCTACAAACTTACGTGGGTGGGGTTCCTGCTGTTAAGGCCCTAAACCCAACAATGAAGTCTCAAGGTTGGTAGAGTTGGATTAGGCTGTGGCATATAGTATCCAACTAGGCTTTGATCAACATTAGCTTATAGGATTAGAAAGTATGAGCAGAAATATTTGGGGAGCCCAAGCTGGGAGAATATGTTTAACTGATCAAACATGAGTTGGTTTCGTATCATTGGCCGGCCGTTGCAAGTTGCTTGGAGGCCAAGGCCAAGTACTTGATGGGGATAAGGAAAGTTATCATCCCTACATCTCAACGTGCATTGGAACATCTCCCATACTTGCTTTGGGAGATGTTACTAGTGCACGGTTGAGATATTTTGTGGGGCACATATGGGGTGCCCATACAAACTCCATCGATTATCCGCACTTGTTAGAGTCGGGCCAACATTTGACTACCTTATGCCCCTGCTCGATTTACAAACAAGGGTGGATTCGAGCCGAGTTGAGCTGAATACCTAGCTATTAAAGCTAGGCTCACAAAAAACCTATGGTGCTTGTGCTCGAACTTTCTATAAAAACAAATGAAAACACCACCGTTGAAGAAGCAAGAGCGATCTTGCTAAAAACAAATGAAAATGAGAATGAGGCAGAACGGAGGCTGTTAGATATACGACAGGCAGCAGGGATGGCTATACGAAACAATTATTATTTTACTTATTATCATTTGTTTATTTATGGATAAGAATTGAAAATTGCATGCCATCAAATCCATTAAGGCAATAAGACAAACTTCAGTTGATAATGATATCATCACCAACCTTCAGCAAATTAGGATTTCCTCCATTTTGATCACTTTAAATTCAAACACTGAAAGGCAAAATGTTTCCATTTGTAGGTTTCCAGAATATCATATATCATATGATGTAACAACCAAACCTAGTGGTTCCTGCCTGAAAATCTGAAGAAAACTTGAAAACCAGTAGTGAAAAGAGTAGAACAAGTTCGATCTGCTTGTTTTTCTCTCCTACCCAATTTTAAAGAACAAGAGTTTTTTTCCATTTGTTTTTCTCTTCCTTTGGGTCTTTTAAGAGTTAATTTTTAGACAAATTCCAAAGAATGGAATGGACAGTTAAAAAACTATTCAGCCGCACGCCTTCCTTAGTGGTTCATGGACACATAGAACTATAGGAGTAGCTAAGAAAATTGAGAAAGAAAAGGGAAATTAAAATTGATCTACAAGATTCCATAAAAACCCAAATCTCTTCCCTTGAATGAATCCAGTAGTTGTTATAGACTTACAGTAAAAAAAAAGAAAGCAAAAGGTGATTGTCCGATTAGGCTCGACTCTTAGGGCAATTGTTGGGACAGGGAAGCACTAGCTCGTTGTCCTTCCACTGATAGGAGCGGGAGGTTTTCGCTGCTCTGTGAAGCCAGCCTGACGCGGTGCCCTCCACTCTAAGAGCCATAAGACCCAAGCTTTTGTTCAAGTCACATGGTTCAACTCCCTACTTGGAATGGGCGTGCCAGCAAATTAGCTCCGACTGCTCCTGCTTGCAAGAATCGAGCCAACGTTCAATCACCTTGGTGCCCTYGCTTGAGTTACAAGCTTGTGCTACCAAGCTCGGCAACATCTAATGGACTGATGGATCTAATAAGGAACAAGAACTTCTTATGCTTTACCAATATGGGACTTTTGCCATAGACGTGGTGTTCATCTAACTTCTCAATCTAAGAATATTGTGGAAGTTAAAGGTTCTTGTTTGGAGGGGTTATTCAACTTTAAAGCTATTTATCCAAGTTACAAAGCAATTGAGGTGGGATGGGAAATACTAATAATTTCAAATTCTTGTTAATCGTGATGTCCATTTGGCAATAAACTAATTATTAACTCCAAGTAGGGGTGGATTCGAGCCGAGCCGAGCTTGAATAGCTAGAACCTTGAGCTCGAGGTCGACTCAAGTCAAAAGTTCCTAAGCTTAAGATTGCTTCAGCTCAAGCTTGATTTGAGAAAAATGTTTTATGGAAATAAAAAAAGTTATATATAAAAAATATTTTTTATTTGATATTTAAAAATTAAGAATTATAATAATTAGTTATTATTATATATATAAATAAAAATATTATATATAATATTTTTATCATATATATTATTTTCTATAATTTTATTACTATTATTATTATTATTATTATTATGTAGCTATTCGAACTCGGCTCGAAGCTCAGTTGAAACTGGGTCGAGCTTGAATTGCTCATAAAGAGCTCGATTCGTGGCCACCCCTAACTCCAAGACATAGTAAAAATAATAAAAAATTGTTATAGGCAAGATGACTTTTATAACCCGGACCATTGAAGTGGCGTCCCATAACCCAAACTATTTTTTCGAGTCATCCCACCGGTGAGCCAAGATTCTACCACTAAGATCCAACCACTTGAAATAGTATTCCGTTGGTGGCCATGGTGGTACACTAGTTCTAGACTCATAGTATTATATATTGAAACAATTTTTATTTCTATAGTTATCAAAATTTTTATTTAATGGATAATAATTGAAAAAAGGGAAAATTCCCAATAGGTATCCTATACTTTAGGTTGAGTGCCAATTTAGTACCAGAATTTTAAAATGCGAGAATCTAGTATTCGTAACTTTTGAAATGCCACAATCTAGTACTTACCATTAATGGACAGTCAGTAATGTATATCACCTGACTTCATGTCTGATTTGAGAATTTTTAAAATGTCTAAATTACCCTTAAAAATAAAATACACTGTTCAACATCTTTCTCAAGAAAATGAAACAGAACGGAAAGGGCTCGCCGCTAGCCACCACCGTAGCCTACAGGAGGGGTGATGTTCTCAGTTCGCCACCGTAACCGCCACCATGGCCCATGCTTGACACTCACGCTTTACGTCTAAATATAAAAGTCTAAATTAAAAAAAAAAAAAAAAATCTGAATCAAGTTGCTCGTCTGCAATCATTTTGAAATGCAACCTCCACGATAGACATGCGAGCAAGGCATGCGAGTGATCTGCGACCCGATCGGAAGCTCTTCCAAACAGATGGCACAATTTATGGTGGAAGTGGAACCCACACCACCACCATCGACGTCGAGTCTCGCCATTTCCAACGCCTCAATGGAGGACGCAGATGCAGGGACAGCTCCGAACCCACCATTGCCAGCATCCATTGATTCCATGGAAGCTGCGGCTATGGCAGCATTTTCGTCGTAGCGTTCAGTGAGCGTCTGCAATATATGGACGGAAGCAACCGGAATGGGGGCTCCATTAGAAACAGKAAGGGCCACCTCTCGGGCAAATGAAGAAATTCTTGGTTCCAGGATCCCAATCGCCTGCTCAGAGAAGCCCATCTCGGAAAGAATGTAAGATACCAACCTTGGACGATGGAGGTCGGATAGTAAGCAGCAAGTATTCAACCAGACGTTCTTGGTGATTCTGGGACCCTCCACCTCAATCGTCACTAATGCATCGTCGTCTCCTTCCTCATCCCCCGATTGCAGAATCCATGTGGTAGTCTTTAAAAACTGGAATTCGATGGTGAACCTATCCAAACCATCATGGACCAATGGCTTCCAAGTGGCCATATAAGCAGACAAGTTCATGAATGGCATCTTGAAGGCTCGAATGAAGATTGAGTACTGAATCAAAAGCTCGAACTGGGAGAAGAGTGGAAAAGCAGAAATTAATAAAGCTAGCTTGGTGTGCGAGTATTGATGAGAATGAGAAAATGAGAGTTACAACTGGGTTTTTATAATTAATGCAGTATGAGTAGTGTAAAACTGGAATTACAAATAGGAAAACACTAAAGAGTTCACTTTTAAGTTTTAACACGACACACACGGTCGTAGACTCGTAGCAACTAGCAAATTTGGATTATTGAAACAAAGAGCGCCACAAGGTGTGACGTGGTCATGAGAGTGGGACCCAAGCCCCTAATTCTAATCGGGCGGTGGAAAGAAGTTTCTACCTATGAAATGAATTAAGAGAGATCGAGAGAACCCGAGAATACTTCCATTGTTTTCTCTATATATTGGTTCGCCATAATTCATTTTGACATAAGAATTGGACGATCGAATTGTGACTATAGAGACCAATAATTTCGACTCTATCTTAGAAAATTAAGATTGGTATATTGTTACAAATATCTTGATTAATGTTTTATAGAATTATGAGAAAAACATGTAATGTTGAAAAAAAAGGACTAAATTCTAATCAAATCTACTATGTAGGTTTCACCTAGTCAATGTATAAATGACTCACTCACACTCAGGTTGTGACATTGTGAACGTATGATCCACTTTGCAGGGCTGAAAATCCCTTCCCTTCTCTAAACAGGTTAGGTTAGTTTGTGCTTTTAGAAAGTTTAATTAAATTTGCTTAAGAAAGAGGAATTATAACCGGGTGAGGAATAAAGAGGAGAGAG